ATGGTCTAGGTTACGAAAATAGTTGAAACTTTCTTTATAACTAATTCGAAGATAAATTTATTGCAGTAGATTGTAGTGTAGTGGTTAAAGAGTAATATTAATACAGTTTTTCTTTTCTTTTTTTTTTTTTTTCTTTTTTTTCTTTCTCGCGTGCTTTCCTCTCCATTATCTTGGCATTCCACTGACCCAATAATTCCTTTCCTAACAAGGCATATTACGTAGGAATCACTAACAAATATGGATGCTTTGACAATTATTTATGATCAATATTTCACATAATTCATAATTAAATAGCATTATTAATCTGCTACCAGCCTAGTGTCCACTGTCCAATATGTTTTGTTTTTCCCCCAACTATAAGCAATTGTGGAATATCGTATTGTCTTACAAATAATATAATACTATTTATATATAGAAGCCCTTCTTTTGTATGTTACAGCTTGAATAACATATGCAAAACATGCATAAAATGCGTGCTGAGATAATTTATTCTTGAGTATGGCAATTAACATCAAACAATATTTCATGGAAATCGTCATATATAACTATCCAAGAAGACTGTAAAAAACTCGGTAAAAATTCTTGAGATAGCTGAATATTTAAGAAAATTTCTTGTTTATATATGGATGAGTAACCCACTGTTAACAAAAAGGCTTAAATGTTTTATACATAATACGAATCTTTGCTAAAAATTTGGTGATCTCTAATATTTTTAACCCGCTAAGACTATAGTTTAGGATACAAATTCAATATCGTCAATTACAGAAGTGAAAATGGACATAGGAATACACACGTTGTCCACTTGTCTGGATTTTAATTTAACTTGGAACATATCTTTCTGATCTCCCCCTGTGTACCAGTCTTAACTTCAATGCTACTCATTTTGATCATTGCCTTTGGAAACTCAAAATCAAATCTTAAACCAAGTAACCCTCTTATGCTTCCTGCATAATTCTCTACAATTCGACGTGTTGAAGAATCTCCCCAGAGCCTCTGATCCGATTCAAGAATCCCATTTCCATCCCTTACATTCTTGAAGAAGCTTACATCGAATTTGAACTGGCTATCTTTGTCTAGAGCCACCCTTTTTGAGCCATCACCATTTTTAGGACAAGTAGATTGTAACTGTACCAAGAATGCTTGGTTAATGCTTGGGTCTGAATTCCCAGTACTTGTGAAGTTGTATAGACGATATTGGAAGAAAAGACAGTCCGTTTGGCCAATGGTATGTGCCCCTAAAATCCAAAAAGACAAGCATGAGTGTGTCACGAAATGTTGTGTATGAAAAAGAAAAAAAGAAAAAAAAAAGGGTTAATTACCAACTAGTGTGACAAGATCATGATCATCAAGGCCTTTCGATGCAAACTTCTGTTTCTGGGTAGGAACAGGATCCAACGGCGTAGGCAAACTCGAGGCCTCAGCCGATGAAGAGATACGACCATCTCTTCTTCCAGTAGGCACACCCCAACTTGGACCTCCACTCTTGGATAAACATACATAAGAGAAAAAGTTAGAAACTTGAAACTCACATGTCTGCATGTTTTGGTGTCAAGTGGATGAGAATTTTGTTTTTTAACACTCTTAAAAAGTGAAATACTCCCGATTTTAAAGAGGTTTTTGAAGTATTTAAAAAATTTTACTTTCTAAATTTACATATGTTCTTTAAATCACAAAATATACTATTTGAAAATAAAGAGTGCTTTGGGGATGCCCTCAGTCGATGTAGGTGTGACAAGGACACCTACCAGCCTATTGAAAACATAACGAAAAGTATAAGTGCTTAGAAGTGGGAAGAAATGTTCACCAAGTCGACTGCATCCCGAGCAGCCAATGCTAGAATATCGGCACATGAGACAACCCCCGGGCACAAACCCTCCAGCTGCGATTTCGCATCATCAATCACTTCAAATCCTCGCAACCCTGCATTAGGCCTCGCGGTTTTTTCAGCGGAAGCCCCAGCAATCAAAATTGAGCCGTCACAACCCTGTGCATGCATGAAAAGTATAAATCCATGCACTACAATAGTTCAATAAAAAAAATTTGGGATTATTATTCATTACTTGAACAAAGCAATCATGGAAATGAAGCCTAAGCAATCCCGCTGCAACAGTAGGATCTTTATTGAAATGTGATTCCACTGTGGATCTGACTATGGATTCAGCTTTTTGACATGATGAAGAATAAAACCCAGTTTTTAATGCTCCTTGGCTTAATGCAGGAATGATAACAATTCCCCAAACTAGGAGTCGAAAATTTATTAAATGCGCAGCTCCCATTATTATTTTGCTTTACTTCCAAGAATCAAGATAGGTCCAATTATTATGAGCTTTGTGTATGATTATTTCTTAATTGTATCAGTACGTGTATATATATATACTGTGTTTGAATGTTGGCTGTGTATTATTTTCTAGAATTTGTGGGACTTAGTGGAGGGTAAGACGTGTGGGGCCTTAAAAATTGGAGACAAATGTTATTCTTTTCTTGGCTTTGAAGTTCAGTGGACTTTATTGTGCATGATTGAACATTTTATATTGGAGCTTCGTCTTTGATTCTGTAGCTTTATCACTTTTACGCGTTATACGTCCCTTTGTATCTTTTCAATTATTTTCCTTCGACATATTTCATCTTGTTCACATTTGCTTTATCCTATTGTATCATCTAAGTGCATTTATTTTTCAGAATAAAACCTGTAACAAAGAAGAGAAGCTCAACCTAACATCGATTCAGTTTGCACAAAGAGAACTTTATTCGCTTTGACAAAAAGCACGGATTTCATTTGTCCAAGTGAATTACTATAATATGTGAGTATAGTATTTCTCTTGATATTGGTTTATGTGCATGTCAAATACATAGTATTATACACAAAAATATTGAATAATACGTTAAATAAAACTTTAACAAATAGCAAATGGTAAAGTATTCTTAGAATTTTTATGTCCCTTAATATAGCAAATAGCTTATCAAGTAAAACAGGATTCCAAATTTGGACTACAGATGGCAGATGCCCTCAATTAGGTGAAGATAATTAATGTCCAAATATTGTTCCAATTTGGTGGTGATATTTAGTAATGGACCACAACGTCGTATAAACAATTGCAGGCTGACAACATTATTCTATATTAAAATAGCATGCAAAATTGTCCCCAGGGCACATCTCCAAGTGGTAAAAAGGGAGGGTGGAGAAATCCAACTTTACTTGAGGCTGCTGCGTCAGAGGTTCGAATTCTGAAATATGGATTTGGCTCTTGGGTAAGTGTAAGTGTACAAGTAGCCTTCCACCCTGTACCTTTGAAGGCATAACCTGCGATTTACCTCCCTCACGATACTCCAAGATAGAGGTGGTGGCGGACTTTTAAGGTTAGGGTTTAACCTTTAAAATAGCATGCAAAATTTTTAATCTCAACAAGAATATAAAAGGAATATTCAGTGGGTCCCTATTCCTAAAGCATTTTGATTATATTAAGTATCAGTGTTTACCAATTATCTATCTCTATAGATCGTTATGAATCTTGTGACTTACAAAAGTTTAAGATAATTATAATCCAAGTTTTAAACGAAGAAAACAAAGATAATTACAATTTGCATATTGGGTTAAGACAACTCAGCTCAAATTATCCCAAGTCAAATCCGAAATGCATTTTGAAACTAGTGAATATGACTTGGATCTTATCTAAAGCAACGATATCAAAGCCAGACCAACTCGTTTGGTTCAATCTGAAAAACCAAAAACCATTGAAATAAGATAATATTTTTCTTTTTAATCATTGATTCAACTAGGGATGACAGTGGGTCGAGTGGAGCCGGTTCGGTTCTTTAATCTACGAGCTCGATTCAGGCTCATGATGAGCCGAGCTCGTGAAAGACGAGTCGAGCTCGAGCTCGAGCTCGGATCGTTGCTCGCTCGCCCCACGAGCTTGTGGGCCGAGCCGAGTTCACGAACCGCTCGTGAGCACGTGATTTTTTAAATTTTTTTTTAAGTTTCATATGGTTTGACGAGCCCACGAGCCCCACGGCCATGAGCCGCTCGTGGGCTCGACGAGGCTCGGCTTGTGGGATTGAGCCCCCTGCTTGGCTCTAGATTTGACGAGCCCGAGCCACTCACGAGCCAGGTTTTGACGAGTCCACGAGCCGCTCGATCCGTTTGGCATCCTTAGGTTCGACCCTGGTTTGATATTTTAACCATTGGCCTTTTACTTTTTCTAAGTTAATGCTCGAACAGTTTTTTAAAACGTTAACCAAACGAAATTGAATTCTATGCAACTAAAATAAATTAACAATATTCCATCATAATTATTAATATATCCAAGAAGCTAAAAAGTTACAAACAGTGAAACGGAAATATACATTTATAAATAAGAGATTTCAAGTGCAAATCAAATAGATAACATTCAGTTCGAAGTGAAGGCCTGCCATCTGTGAGGATCCCATCACTTGTACCTCCCCGTGTTCCAATCCCATATCATTGAATCTACCAGCATCAGCAAGCGATAAGTATGATTAATTGTTGAGTTTTGCTAGAAAAACAGGGCCTAGGTGGCCCTTTTTGGGAAGAATTGTTCTTAATTGTTTCACACAGCACAATGGCAAAATAAGTTCACATAAATTAAGCCAAAACCAGAAGACGAGATGTAATTTTCATACTTTATTCCTGCTTAATTATGAGTAGTCACAATTTTTAACATCATCAAATATGAAGAATCTCCTGGAGAATTGTTGTATATCAGATACACCAGTACAAAATTTGTTGGAGGCGGAACAGCAATAAACCACTAGTTCATGGAGAATCGCCTTCAGATTTAGGGAACAATATGAAGTATACGAGATCACAGTCACAGAAACAAGATTTAAAGTAAAGAACAAAAAGAGAAATTGACAGAGGAACAATAATTTAAGGGTTAATTTTACAAACGGTCACTGAAGTTTAAAACTTTCAAAAACGATCACTTAAGTTCCAGGCGGTTTCACTAATGGTCACTTAAGTTTAAAAATTTGCACAAATGGTCACTATCAGGACCTTTCTGATTCTAATTCAAACTTAAGGATCGAAACACGTGACCATACATTATTGAGGACCTCAGGCGCAAAATTTAGAAAACGTTAAAAAAAACTCAAAAATTTGCTCAATTTGATTATTGGGGTCGTTTCTAGATTATTAGGTGCAATTGAACTGTTACCCATAGTTGTATGATGCTGCTGGAGACTCTATTAGGACCAATTTTGTGATTCAATGATGTGGGGATGAGGAATTGAAGGAGGCAGATCTAATTCGGTTCGATGCGCCTCTGCATGGGCTGCTTGGTTAAATTCAGCCTTGTTGGTTCGAAATTGGCAGTGACCCATACGTCCATTGGATGAGCCATGAAGAGACGGTTCTAGGGGTGGTGGTCCGCCACCGTGAGTAGTGTTTCCGACGTCGAAAATTGGAGTTGAATGGTCCGAGTTCGCTGTTCATTTTTGGTTGTGTGGGCAGCTTCTTTGATTGGAAATTTCAAGCAGATCTAATGGAGTTTCGGCCATTGGTTGGGTGGGTTGGAACGAGTGAAGTGAGGGCTTCAAGGTAGTATGTTAGTCTACAGCCAAGGTGGTCGGAGGTTGGAGTTGTGGTGGCCAGAAGTGGTGCGCTGGTCGTTTTTGGTTGCGCGGGCAGCTTCTTTGACCGGAGCTTTCAGGCAGATCTGATGGAGTTTTGGCCATTGGTTGGGTGGGTTGGAACGAGTGAAGTGAGGGCTTCAAGGTGGTATGTTGGTCGACGACCAAGGTGGTCGGAGGTTGGAGTTGTGGTGGCCAAAAGTGGTGGCTCGATATCCTCAAAATTCACCTTCTTCCTAGAAATTTCAAGCAGTTTATGCAAGAGAATTAGCTCGATTTTGCGGTGATTTGGGGCTGTTGTTTGTGTAGGGATGTTAGGGGTTGATGAGGAGATGGTGGTAGCGCAAAAATCCGGTAGCTATGGTGGTCGGAAGTTGGCTTCCATGGTTGGGCTGAAATTTTGTGCCTGAGGTCCTCAATATTGTATGGTCACGTGTTTTCGATCCTTAAGTTTGAATTAGAATCAGAAAGGTCCTGATCGTGACCATTTGTGCAAGTTTTTAAATTTAAGTGACCATTAGTGAAACCGCCTAGAACTTAAGTGATCGTTTTTGAAAGTTTTAAACTTCAGTGACCGTTTTGTAATTTTTTGGCAACTTTAGTGATCGTTTGTGAAATTAGCCCTATTTTATTAATAACAACCAGAGAAAGAGAGTATAAAGAACTGAGCAATAATGCCTTTTTGTCTTCTTTTGCTTCATAAATCTAGAAAAAATAGTAGTATTTATAGAGAACAATCCAATCCCTATAATTAGAGTTGTACATGAAATAAAATGTCAAAATTTTTCTTATTTTGATCTCTTTAAGTCCAAAACAAATTTCAACTTCCAATAGGGCTTCCAAATAGAATTTTAACTAGAATTTGAGAATTAAATTTGAATAGGATTTCACAATAGCATTCTAATTAAGGAGGTGTTTGAGCCACATTATTTTGGTAATAATGCATTCTTGAATAGTGTATTGATGGGAAATGTGTGGTTATTTTGATTTGTGTGTAATATTATTTTATTGAAAAATGTGTGATTGAAATGATGTCAAATCACTGTTTAAAAATACATTTTTTTGGAATAATGTGGCTCAAAAAAGCCCTAAAATTCCTTTTGATATGCACTTCAATTTGAACTCTAAAATTATTTCAACAAGGAATTTGGATCACACTCGAATTTTGACAATCTCCACCTTGACACGAATTTTTCTACAATGAACAAAACTTCAAAATTTCTCTACCTGAAAAAATAAGTCCGTCTGCTGCAAAATAAACCTAACTCTTTAAACAATAACCAAAACTCTCTACCTCACAAAAAAAAAATCTTCATCCGCTCGATATCCATAGGCTATGCTCTGAAACCACTTGTTGGAGGTAGAATAGCAATAGAGTACCAGTTGATGGAGAGCCCCCTCGAGATTTATGGAACAAAATGAAGTATATTAGATCACAAACATAGAAACAAGGTTTAAAGTAAAGAACAAAAAGAGAAATTGACGTAGGAGCGATCTTTTATTAATAACAACCAGAGAGAGTACAAAGAATTGAATAATAACGCCTTTTAGGCTTCTTTTCTTTTACAAATCTAGAAAAAGAGTAGTATTTATAGGGAAAAATTCAATCCCTATAAGTAGAGTTGTACATAAAATAAAGTGTCGAAAGTTTTCTTATTTTAATCTATTCAAGTCCAACAAAAATTCCAACTTTTATTAGGGCTTCCAAATAAAACTTTAACTGTAATTTGACAATTAAATTTGAATAGGATTCCATGATAACATTCTAATTAGAATTTCTCTTGATGTGAATTTCAATTAGAACTCTACAATTATTTTAACA